TTCAGAATGATACCATTTTTTCCACAGGTTTCTAGCCAATTGCACGATTGAAAGAAACTTTGCTGGATACTGTCCGACCAAAGAAGAGCATCATCTATACACTTTGTTTTGTCAGGAATGTCAGATACAATTTCGTCAAAGCGGCGTGTATATCCATCTCCGGAGGCTATGTATCCTTGAGGCGCTGTCTTATATCTGTATCTGCCCCATGGTGTGATGAAGGTGGTCAAGTGCTTGTCCTCTTCACGGATAGGCACACTATGGTACCCATTCCAGGCATCGAAGACAGTCTTTTTAGTGTGACGTGGAACAGAGCGAGCTTGATGAAATGGGGATTGTGTGTGGTGAGTTTCCCTCACTGCATGAACATTTAGTGCCTGAAAGTCTACTGTCCGTCGCGGTTTGCCATTCTTCTTTGCACAGACGACCATACGATGACACCATGTAACTGGTTCCCCGACCGGAACAGGCTCAATAACGCCGAGTCGAACATCTTGATCTAAGCCTGCCTTCACTTCATCCTGCCAGTGTAATGGTACTGGGACTGGTGTATGATGTGGCGTCAGGGTCCACCATGAGCCGCATCGGTGGGCCTGACATGTGCGGAAGTGGTTGGTGCTGACATGTATTGAAGGTGCTGGATTTGTACCAGTCTAGTAAGTACTGTTGCAGTTTCTCCCGGTTCGCTTCGGTTGCTGGGAACGGCAGAACCGATGGTGCAGGCAGTGGTGTTTCGCGTTTAGGACACTTGCAGTCGTCACTGTCTATACGTAATGTGGTTGTAGAATCCACAGAAGATGTCGATTGTGAACCGTGGTGTGCATAATCATCTTGTGTACTTGGGGAGGACACAGATTCGCTGATGGTCTCTATACTTTCGTTGTTGATGTTACGTGCTTCACCAATAGTTGGAAAGTTCGGTGTTATCATGCCAAGTGATGCACACGCTTCTCTACTAAGAAACACTTTGTCAGAGTTATTGGTAACGTACACAATTTGGGGAGCTTCATAAGTTTCACCTCTCGTTCCTTTGCCAGATATGCGGAGGATGACTGCCCCAAGGATTCTTATGCTGACGTTGTTAGCAGCATGCATCTTCATAGTCACTGGGATCAAATGTTTCTCTGAGATGCCAAGCCGATGTAGCACCTTAATGCCGGTTAGGCAGCTTTGGCAACCTGTGTCAGCCATGGCGGTGATGGTAGCTGTCTTTGGTTTCGGTATGATCTTTGGGTCAATGCCGAAGTGGTCATAGTCTTTAGGGTCAACACGAGCAGTCACATGCATAAAAGGCTGAGGCTGTGACGGCTGGCGAATCCAAGTGTCTGATAGCTGATTGTAAAGATGATGATCAAGTTGAACAACATTTCTACCATAGTTATTGTCATGACTGGTTGCGGCGCAAAGTGAATCAAACACAGCACTTTCCTGTTCAGTCTTAGTGTTTGTCACATTTTGTTTGCCTCTGCATACAGACTCAAAGTGGTTCATTCGCTTGCAATTGTTGCATGTATGACCATATGCAGGGCACTCTTTTTTGCGAGTTTGTGGCGTTGCTTTGGCACCATGACCTTTATTTCCATAATAGGTGCACAGTGTCTCTTGTTTTTCAGTTTTCTTAGTCACTATATGAGCGGCACTCTTATTGCGGCGATATGAACTGCTAGCTGCTTCTGCTCCTTGAGAAACAAGTAGTTTAGATGCAGAACGTTTACCCGATTCTTTGGCTTCAACGAATTGAAATGTTTGTTCAAGTGTCATGTTTTGATTTCTTTCCCCAAGGAGATCAAGTTGAATCTCAGAGTCGTTGAGTCCACGAATAAGCACATCACGTAAGATTGCGTCAGTATAGTTGACTTCGTTGTCGCAGCTGGGGCATGGTATTAAAAACTTGCACACACCTGCTTGTCCGCGTAGTCGAGCCCCAAATGAGCGCACAGTTTCTTCATGGTCTTGTGTCATGTTGTTCAGTGCTACCCGAGCTACCATGGTATTCTCTTCACGCACAGCTAGGATCCTGATGGCTGTTAATACATCTTCTTGAGACTTATCCGTCAGCGAGCCACCAGCTGATCTTGTGAGGTCCCTCCGTAGATTCTCATCGGAACACTCAAGAAGCTGTATAACAAGTTCCTTTTCCTTTATTTTAGTGGCTTCTACGTAGTCTTTCCATCGTGAGAGGAAGTATGACCAATCTTCACTCGTGCCAGCGGATGTAATGGTGGGCCGTTTGACTTTTTCCACTTTATTACAGCTTGCAGAAGTCGAGGCTGCTGTGTGTACTAGCGCATGGGTAGTCAAAAGTGCAGCAACGATTGCACCATCTAAGTCATCTGTTTCAAAGTCACAGTCTGGGATTGGACACTTCACTGAAGGCATCTTGTTTGTGTAGTTGTTGCTGTTATGTGTTGTTAGTGGTCTCTCAGTGGATTGAATCCTCCATCATAGATAAGTAGGCCGATACTATTTTCAGATAACTTTATTATCCAAAATGATGGAGGTCTGAAACATACAAAAAGTAACATTGTAAATAAAATCAACTATCTGTTGGTAAGACATAAGTAATAGACTAACAAGTAAATACATAATCCTCTAGTTTATATTAAGGATACTGTCCCCATGATTACTGACTGTCTTAATACACTACATCTATCATGTGATTTGAGTTTTTTTAAAAATCAATATCTATCGTAGTTGGTGTTTTGTATTCAATCTTTCAGCAATCCAAACATGTAGCATTGCATTGACCACTAATTCTCCAGTTGTAACCAATGGTGATAATGTACAAACGACTGAGGAAGCAACGGAAATGACGACATTATGGATAACAAAAACATACACTGATGTCGTACCATCAGAACCTACCACAATTCATGACGTATCATCGGAACCTACCACAACTGATGACGTATTATCGGAACCTACCAAAACTGATGACGTATCATCGGAACCTACCAAAACTGATGACGTACCATCGCAACATACCACAACTGATGACGTATCATCGGAACCTACCACAACTGATGACGTATTATCGGAACCTACCAAAACTGATGACGTATCATCGGAACCTACCGAAACTGATGACGTATCATCGCAACCTACTACAGCTGATGACGTATCATCGGAACCTACCAAAACTGATGACGTGTCATCGGAACCTACCAAAACTGGTGACATATCATCGGAACCTTTATCTAAATTTAAACATATTTTATTTGTCAATCAACAAAAAGGATTGGGCACAAGTTATCGCAACTTAAAAACGCCTTCTCCATAAGATTTCATTATACACAAATGACATGACAACAATAACAATAACATTTACAAAAGTATATATATATGAGTATAGAAAATAAGTGAAGAAAGGAATGGGGGAGAAAGGAAGAAAAGGGAACGATAGAGACTAAATGGGGTAAGATATGATATAATATACAAAAATGCTACTGATCTTAAAATCTTTTACTATTTTTTATGTATGTTTGAACGACAAGAAAAATACTTTCATTATCTTCATCAGACAGGTTTGGAGAACCAGAAAGAATAACATTAAGAGAAACGTTACAGTAACGTGTGATACTGTCAAACATGATTTGTCGTTGTTGTGTATACAGCACACAATAAAAAAAATGTATTACATTTTCACACCTATTACCACGTGCACATGTAGGATCACTTACAATATTAACTCTATACAAATCATATTTTAAAATACTACAAGAATGACGCAATCGTGTGTGTAAAATATTCAGTTTACGATTTCCAACATCAAAATATTTAGGTAACAAGTCATTTTCATTATACTGAATCAATGATTTAAAACTGTTTATGGATGGCTGTTCTCTAACACTGTTAGGTAATTCATTCCATAGTCTAATATAAGACGGAATAAAAGACTGAATTGAACTAGACAGTCGGAAATTGGGAACCTACTACAACGGATGACGTGTCATCGCAACCTACCACAACTGATGACGTATCATTTAAGCCTACAACAACTGGTGACGTATCATCGGAACCTACCACAACTGATGACGTATCATCGGAACCTACCACAACTGATGACGTGTCATTTGAGCCTACCACAACTGATAACGTATCATCGGAACATACCACAACTGATGACGTGTCATCAGAACCTACCGAAACTGATGACGTGTCATCAGAACCTACCACAACTGATGACGTGTCATCGGAATCTACCACAACTGATGACGTATCATTGGAACCTACCACAACTGATGACGTATCATCGGAACATACCACAACTGATGACGTGTCATCAGAACCTACCACAACCGATGACGTATCATTTGAACCTACCACAACTGGTCCTGCCGCTGTGTGTATATGTACATGTTTAACAGATCCAAACAAGAACTAAACAACTCAACTTGAACTGTCACTAAAAACGTTAAGATCGAACCACCTTGTAAAGAAGACTGATACAATGGCATGGGTGAGAAGATTATCCTGTGCAGATGACAGTCGAGCGTCTGCCAAAGCCTTGGGTCTGACAGGAGCTGTGATCGAGTTTTCTATATCAACAATTTTCTGTCTGTCTGACATTACCATACTATATTCTACATTTTGTCTAAGAAAATGTTGAAAACTCGTCTGTCGAAAGTGAATGATCTTGGTTCTGTTTAAATTATGAAAGTATGGACATATGACAACAACGTGAGAAGGAAAAGTCTGCCTTTTATTGAGTTTATAGGTAATATAAATGACATCGTTTGGCGGGAAAATGATGACTGGAACAATGTATGGTTCAAAACTTTGTTGTTTAAAACATGTCACGCCAGTTAAATACTTATAGTTAAGGTAAACTAAGGGTCACTCCGGATGTTTATCACACATGTCTACTAAAAATATAGAGGTATCTCGAATTGTGGATATTGTTAACAGTTTTTATGTCAAAATTAATGACTCCGCGATATATCTTAAAACTATTTTAATGTTTTATCGAAGAATTAATAGACAATGTCAGTCTGTTTTTGTCAGGCACATTCACAGCGTTCACAACCATTGGCATCTTTACGATAATTTGGAGGATTTCCGCATGGAAGAATACAGAAAATCGGAACACATGGAGTCTTCGTAGTCTGTGGTTTGGTTAAAAGTACTGGCGCATGCGCTGAAAAGGAATAATGAAAATATAATCAAAAGCAACGAATTAATATCAGTTCTATTTATTCTATTAGATTGCCACAACCCTTCAAAACTATTACTTCACCACCTCGATAGTGTCGTGTGTCTGTTGAGGCCAAAATGAATTCCTACCTTCCACACATACCTTAAATATTACGTCACCACCTTACACACGACGAGAATTATCACTGTTCAAAATCTGGTCTGAATAGTTGCTAATATTACGGATAAGTCCAACACAAAAGAGGTGTGTTATATTTAGAATACAGTACAATACATAGTCGTAACTATAGGGTGTCTATTTAGCTGTCTTACCTCTTATTTAGCGTGTAGAGGCGTCGGCCATTTTATATTTTTGAAACTCACCAACATCACACCACGTGATCCCGACTTTGTAGATGGGTCATGTCACACAGTAGAAGTATATACATACAATGATAGATCTCACGCGGTACATAACATCAATGTAAACCGACAAATGGAGGGACATAAAGATACCTAATGCTAACTAGTAGGAGGATTTCACGAGGAGGTAAAACTTTTATGACAGAAGCACGATTTTCTGTTAAAATCTCAAGTGATATAAGAAATATATACACAGAGCTTTATCGATTATTTCTAAGTATTTGAGGTCATATCAAAGCAAGTTGACACATAAAGTCTGATAGTTACTTGTGTTAGTGATGATAGTCTCTGTGTTAATGGTTGTCAGGCTTGGGGAGAGTGAAGGAGGTGGAGACAAATTTCTTGATGTTACGGGTGGTGTAAACATAGTCCTGACAGTTGAAGAACTATTTTCCGTTGTGTTGTCGAAAACCGTAGTGGCATTCTCCATGGAATTCACTGTTGTCGTTAAGGAATTTGTAGTTGACAGAGTTGTGGTATAAGGAGTTGTTGTAGAAGTTGTGGTTGAAGGGGCAGTGGTTGTAGGAGTTGTTGATGTAGTTGTAGGCGTTGTGGTTGTTGAAGGAGTTGTTGTAAGAGTTGTTGTTGAAGGAGTTCTGGTTGTAGGAGTTGTTGTAGGAGTTGTGGGTGAGGGAGTTGTTGTTGTAGGAGTTGCTGTAGTAGGAGTTGTGGTTGAAGGAGTTGTGGTAATAGGAGTTGTTGTTGTAGGAGTTGTGGGTGAGAGAGTTGTTGTTGTAGGAGTTGTGGGTGAGGGAGTTGTTGTTGTTGTAGGAGTTGTTGGTGAGGGAGTTGTTGTTGTAGGAGTTGCTGTAGGAGATGTGGTTGAAGGAGGTGTGGGTGAGGGAGTTAATGTTAAAGGAGTTGCTGTCGTAGGAGTTGGTGTTGTAGGAATTGTTGTTGTAGGAGTTGTGGGTAAGGGAGTTATTGTTGTAGGAGTTGTGGGTAAGGGAGTTGTTGTTGTAGGAGTTGCTATAGTAGGAGTTGTGGTTGAAGGAGTTGAGGTTGTAGGAATTGTTGTAGGAGTTGCTGTTGTAGGAGTTGTTGTTTTAGGAGTTGTGGGTGAGGGAGTTATTGTTGTAAGAGTTGTTGTAGTAGGAGTTGTGGTTGTTGGAGTTGTAGGTGAGGGAGTTATTGTTGAAGGTGTTGCTGTTGTAGGAGTTGTTGTTGTAGTTGTAGGGGTTGTGGTTGTTGTTGAATGAGTTGTTGTTGTAGAAGTTGTGGGTGAGGAAGTTGTTGCTGTAGGAGTTGCTGTAGTAGGAGTTGTGGTTGAAGGAGTTGTTGTCATTGGAGTTGGTGTTGTAGGAGTTGTGGGTGAGGGAATTGTAGTTGTAGGAGATGTGGTTGAAGGAGTTTTTGTTGTAGGAGTTGCTGTTGTAGGAGTTGTTGTTGTAGGAGTTGAGGTTGAAGGAGTTGTTGTTGTAGGAGTTGTGGTTGACGGAGTTTTTGTTGTAGGAGTTGCTGTTGTAGGAGTTGTAGTTGTAGGAGTTGTTGTAGGAGTTGCTGTTGTAGGAGTTGCTGTTGTAGGAGTTGTTGTTGTAGGAGTTGCTGTTGTAGGAGTTGTTGTAGGAGTTGTTGTAGGAGTTGTTGTTGTAGGAGTTGTGGTTGTAGGAGTTGTTGTTGTAGGAGTTGTGGTTGTAGGAGTTGTTGTTGTAGGAATTGTTGTTGTAGGAGTTGTGGTTGTAGGAGTTGTTGTTGTAGGAGTTTCTGTTGTAGGAGTTGTTGTTGTAGGAGTTGTGGTTGAAGGAGTTTTTGTTGTAGGAGTTGTTGTTGTAAGAATGTTTGTAGAAGTTATAGGATTTGTGGTTGCAGGTCCTGTTGTCTTTGAACCTAGTGAGAAAAAATATCAGTGTTAAAACAAATACAAACAAACACACAATGTATACGGGAGTACTTTGTTGGCTACAGTGACGTGACTTTGTATGTTTTATTCAATGACTGACAGTTTAAGGAAGATTTAACGATATCGCCTACCCTTCAGAAAATTCATCACTTACCGTAACATTTACATCTAACACAGCCTGTTCTAAAGTCTATAAACCTACAGCTGATCGGACAGGTAGGGTCATATTTCTCACACCCATTGGCGCCCTTGTTTGGTCCACCTCCATTCATGCCACCTCGAAAATATTGTAACAAAAACAGAATTATAAAACCTTATGTTAAAAACATTTTACATATTTCTGTGCATTAAACTCCACTTTTCCCGTCGAAGGAAACTTTTTGTTTTATAAGATAAAACGTTATATCAGTTAATAAAACCTAGTGCATCCTTATTTCGACTTCATATAAATTTCAGTTGTACGTTGTATATAAAATCTTTACCTGAACTTGGACTGATCTGACCAGGATTTCCGCTTTCGCCGCCACAAATCGGACAACCTTTACTGTCTCGAAATATCTGCCAAGGGAGACAATACCCTAGGGGTCGACATCCTTCTTTATAAAAAAAAAGAGAAAGAAAATATAACTTCCTGTGAGAAATAGAATATTTAACAACATTACAATTAGTTTATTCATTGTGTTTGAAGATGTTCTAGTACTTTCTGTATCTGTTCATTATTTCTCCTTAAAAATTTTAAAACCTGCATGAGGATTTTGTATATGAGCACAGTAATAGCAGAAACCTGGTCCAGACTCTCCACTGGAACCGGAACTTGATGACGATGAACTGCTAGTTCCGCTGCTAGCTACAAAAGTATAATATCTTAATTATGTACATGAAATTATATGATAACAAATTTTAAGTGGGTGGTAATAGTTTTAGTGTCCATTTGTGATTTAAAACCGATACAGAACTCACATTAACTTAGTCAGTGTAAATAAATGGCGATTCACATGTATATATAACAAGACATAGGACAAGGGAACCAACATGTTCCGGTCCTCAGGAAAGATTTTTTTTTCACGGATAATAGAAACACATTTTTCCGGACTTTTTCGGGAGAAAAACGATATTTTCATTTTCAATGGGCGACATCTCGCTCTGTGAAAGGCACATTTTAATTCATAATATCATTGCTTGCAAGAGCAACAACTGTTCCTGATATATCGTTATCAGCATTTTTGTTTACTAGCTGGAGACAATCCATCCTGACATAGGCATTAAAACAATATTTTTGTTCACCACAGGAGACAACTCGTCCTGATAATTTTTTATTTGCCAGCGGAGACAACTCACCCTGACATGGACACTGGAAACAGCCGCTGATGTATTGTAGACACGGACACATAAACCCTGTGTAACATTTTTTCTGGCGTATGTAGGAGGCTAAACACAAATATAATATGTAGTTAAGGTTGTATACTATATTAAAAATCTCCTTTTTTTCGCGTCATCGACCATGATATCAATAAATCCTTTCTTAAGTATAATTACCTTGTAATATACATGTTTGATACTATATGACATAAACAGCGATTTAAGAACGTAAACGCATATCACGCTTTCTTTAGAATCTATGGTGTCCAGTACTTTGTGTATGCTTGTCAACGCATCGGTTGATCATTATCTCATAACTATTGAATATTTCTGTTTTAGATATTAATGAAAAAAAACTCCAAGGGGGATATTGACTAAAAGTAAGAACATAACAATTTACTTCAAGTCGACAGGACATAACATAATTAACATATCACCAGATTGATAACAGGTAAGTTTTACACCTACCTTGATTACCTTCGAAACTCTCCATGGCTACAAGGAAGAAAATTAAAAACCCTTTCATGTTGAGAGGGGTTATTACGTGTAATATTGAAGATATTTGAAATTTGAAGCGAATTTGATAATGAGAGATGAAACAGATGTTTAGAGCCCCTGCAGGTGGGCTACTAATTATCTACAGGTGAGACGGTGTTGAGGTCACAAGGTCAGGATTCTACACCTGTCCCGATAACACACGGCACAATCGGTAACTACAAGCTATTCACAAATTTTAATCAGTAAAATTTTAGACCCGTCTGATGAAAACTTACGCTAACATCGTATTGAACTCTCTATTCATCCTGATTTTTGTGAAACTGACCATGTCCTTAACTAAACTCAGGTCGCTTTCCCATAAGCGGTTGAAATGGTTGAACCGCTTAATTTTGCTACCTGCAAGAAAATCTCAAGGTACAATCGGGACCGAGGCTGGACTGTGAAATTATTGACACATATATATTGATGGGTCCGACTGTACTTGTAACTCTGACAAATCAAACTGAGTGATTTTTTCAGCGAGTTGAGATCGAAGACCGAGGTGCGCTGTCCTGGGCGTGTCCTTGGACAATGCGCAAATGTATCCTAAACGACCTGAAAAGTATGTAAATGACTTCCTGAATAATGTGAGACACTGGACTGCCCCACGTGTCTAGAATATTATAATTATTATGATTGTGTTTGTTCAGATATTTCGGATAGATAAACTGATGCAAGAATCACGAAGAGATTGTTTTGAAGCTTAATTAGAGGTTGATGGCCAGTATTGGTAGCTACCAGCTTGAACTCGCCCTGGGTATTCAAACTCAGCGGGGTAAATAATATACTAATAAACACTACTGCTTAACACAGATCTTTCCAACTCAAAGGAAAGATTTATAGAAGAAAATATTGTATACCACTGTTCACAGTGAACATTAACAGATAGAAAATCATACCACACAATATGTTTTACGCAGTTTTTACGCAGACAACACTTATATATAAAAATATTCATACCACACATTTTTTTCTCGCTGTTTGTTCATTATTTAAACTAAATTTAACTTTGTATATTTTAGTCTGTCCTGTAACGTGTGTTTTTTTGTTTGTTTTGTTTTTGTTTTTGTTTTTTTTTACATTATTACGTTATTGCACTTAGTAAAACGTAGCTATACCATTGTCCTCTCCAAGTTTAGCAAGTAATCAGATTCGAAACAGAATATCAGAAATCTCAATATCGTATAACAGAAGTCAATATTTATTTCAATGCATCCGCTAGGAATCGAACACGGGACCCCTGGCGTACTAGTCTAGTCCTTTTAGTCGAGCGGCGACAAAATGTAGTTCGAACCCCAGCGGTGTTAGGCTGTTATTCATGGCTCCTTCCTAACACAGATTTGGTGCCGTTGATCACTCCAAGGGTAGAATTTATAGGATATTGAGATTCTTCCTTTGGTTTATCGAACCTTGTTCTTGTCTTTTTGGGTCGAAGACTTCGTAAAGAAAGGAATTATTCAGTAGAGGAACTTGGAGTTATGTAAAACACATTTCCCGGTAGGGTTTGTACTAGCGGTCCTTTGATCTGTAGCCAGGCACTCCAGCCTTGAGACGAGCGATAGAGTGTCCGGACACAGGCCGAAGGTCGCTAGTTCGAACCCTGGCGGAAGTAAACTAGTTTCCATTACTCCTATTAAGCTATATCACAGTACTCGATAGCTATCGAAGTCCGTGTTATTAAACTTTACATAACTGAGTGTAACAATTTCAAGACAAAGGCTGTCATTACATTTTAAGGTATGGCAAAAAGATTCAACGTTAGTCATTGGTCAAATATTAAAAAGCGCAAAAAAATATATTATTGTAATACTAAAATTTGAAAAAGCTGTGCATATATATAATTTCTTTTATAGATGTCGCATTTTCTGTTTACATTTAAGATATTTCATTTAACTCTAATCTTGGAGCATTTCAAAAAATTATACAAACCAACAGGAATTAAGATAATTGTGACTGATATATATATATCCATTTCGAAATCTAGAAGAGTTATATTCATTTTACAGCTATGTTGATGATTGGTGATAGAGAGTACCTTCCCTTCGGCAGAGCTCTTGTTCGTCCAGAGAGCATAAGTGGTATCGATTTCCTTCTCGCATAAATTGAGGAGATTCGCCGACTGGAAATTAAGAAAATTGCAGAATTTGCGTTAAAATAATGGCTATCAGCAAAATAACGCCAATCAACATCTGAGGTTTGTGTGGTGATATAACTTGCAAACAGTGTTCATAATCGTTATGGACGTCGTTTGCAATATGCACGTGATGACTTTTGTCTGGACACTTTGGAGCCAACTAATGCGTGGCCCAGGGAATGATATATTCATTGATAACACGTTTGACCGCGAATATTATGGGCATGCACTTTTTTCTCACGAATACATAAGCGAAAGTAAAAATCACGGATCTTATTAAATTCCATTTCACGAATGTATGAGCTGCTAAATTAATTATGATAATTTGAGAATATAACATTTTAATCTTAGACGCATCATGCCACATAAAGATATGTGCTACAGTTTTAAGAGATCATTTATCTGAATGAATTAATAAATGCTTTAGTCACTTCAGATTAGTCAGTCAAAACATATTACTTAAGATGAACTTGATAAAGTGCAGTATATCTGAATAGCGTTGGCCAAACACTCTGTTACAACAAATGTCTATCATTTTTGACAGGAGTATACAGAAGTGCAATCGTTTAAATGATTCATAAAATTTATACAGAACGCGTGGTACTTAGAAAAAAGAATAGATACAATAGCTGTTGACATATGATTCTAGTAGCACTAAACATTGCATGAAGAGCTAAATAGAAAGAGAAGAGAAAAAATACACCATCAGTTAATTTGTTGACAGAATCAGGTAAGTCTCCTCTAAAACTCTGAAGAGAAAAACTGATTCTCAAATATTGGGTTAGCAGAGAAACATGTGGACCAAATTTTCCGCCTAATTATTTAATAAAAACAAAGCTAAGGAATCAGTAATCAAAACAAATTAAAAGAACAATAGAAACCTGCTTATGATCATCTGGTAATTTATTCATTAAAAGGGTTTAATGTAGATTTCAAATAGATGTTTTAATGTAGCTATTTAAATATGAGTTCTACAGATCTAAACTGAGTGCTGAGTAACTTTATATTTGCTTTAGACGAGTTTCGCTGTGTCAACCATGAATATAATCTGCAGCAGAGTTTTCTATTATCTTCTTCCGTTACTGTTTAAATCTGTACAAATTATAAGATATACATTAGATATTGATATGGTTCCTCAAGAATTTAAGTTGGATTTATTGAAAGTGAGTCTATTACACCAATAACGTAATTTAGATGAGTCCCAATGAAAAAGATATAATTGGGGCAGAGGTCCCAAATTTGAGCGAATCCCACAGGGAAAGTATATGTGCGGGACTGAAATATCTCAAAAATTATTGGTCTGGTTCCTGTCAATCAGTTGATCTAGTGTTAGGACATTGGTGGACACATTGTGATTTACCAATTATAGTCTGTTCCACTCTGTTACCAATTATAGTCTGTTCCACTATGTTACCAATTATAGTCTGTTCCACTATGTTACCAATTATAGTCTGTTCCACTATGTTACCAATTATAGTCTGTTCCACTATGTTACCAATTTAAGTGATATGCATGAAGTATTTTTCTCTTCTGTAGTCATTTCATTGTATCTTAACAAATGTTTATGCTCAGTTTGCCAAGCGATAGATCAGTAGTGAAAATTAGTAATTATTTTGAGTGGAAAATCACTGAAGGCATTTTTACAGTTGTGCTTAATCAAAGTCGATCATTGCCATCAGAAAAGCCATGTTGGTTGACAACCAATTATATGCAGTAACCACTGTTCTAGCTGTATTGTAATGTTGATTTGTCAGTATGGAGTAGTTGTCTGTTATCTTTTCCAGTATCATGGACATGAATCCTGCTCTTCCACATGACATTAATTATATCCCTGTATGTGTTTCAGGACAAAGTGGTAAATGTGTGATGTAATAGTAACAAACCTGTTCATGTTACCCAGGCAACCAGGTCACGATATGATAAGGTCAGAGGTCACAATATGATAAGGTCAGAGGTCACCTACCCAATATTGTTGGATTTTCCCTGTTACTGTTAACTGGTATAGCATTCATACTTATCTGCATATTATAATGTCTATGAAATGCATAGATATAAAACATGTGATTTTATCCATGTAAGAATACACACATAACTTGACCACATGCAAAGATTCTCTGATGTGGGGGAAGAAAACCCAGAACTAAATGTGGTTTGATTATCATAGATAATGATAAAAGAAAGAGGGGGAAGAAATTCAGGATTGTTTCATAGTTCGAGGTAAAAGACAGTGGTTTGTATGTAAAAAAGTCATATAATCTTTTGCATTGGCCCCTTAAAAAATTACCACTCTTTATTTCAATTTTCTTTCACTTTTTACTGAAAATGCCCCTCTTAATTATTTTATGTAGACTTTGCTCAGTACTCTCAGTTCCCTGGATGATCATCCTTAGCTGAATATGATCTAGAAAATTATTGATGATTTTTGTTGTTTATGTTCTTTGATCCAAAGCAAACTTTAATATTAACACACGTTTATTTACTTACAGATTGATTGAATGATGGCTCCTGGGAGAGTGGATCAGAAGGGAGATAACTTGGATTGAATGGTGTTATTTGGATTATGGATCTGATGGGAGACAACTCTGATTGAATGATGACTCAAGGATAGTGATCAAAGGGAGACAACTCAGACTAAAAGATGACTCATGGGAGTGATCAGAAGGGAGACAACTCAGATTGAATAACAACTCCTGGGGATATGGATAAAACGGGATTATTCACTGGAGAGTTAATAGTGTTATCTTAAGATTGTAGCTGCTTATCAATGGAGCCGCACGGGAAATTAACCTACTCAGGTCAGGGAGCAAGGCCAAAGTCTTCAAGGAACACATCAGCCGTCACAGCAAACACATCAGCCGTCACAGCGAACACATCAGCCATCACAGCAAACACATCAGCCATCACAGCAAACACATCAACAGTCACAGCTGACACATCAATGATTTCAGCTAAAACATCATCCATGCTGTTGACTAACACATCCATGCCGATGAGGAACACATCCATGAATGTTTCCAGTGAGGACAACAATTACATATCTGATGAATCTGATCGCAGCAAGAGGGTCACAGCTTCTAATGGAAATGAGCATTTTCAGGACATCAAAGATCAACAAGAAGTTGATTTTTGGGACAAATTGACGTCTGAACGAGAAAAAGAAAATATTGATAATATGCACAGAATTCATGGATGTTCAGAAGATAAAGTCAAAAGTTCAAAAGGACAACTTGATAAGGATTCTGGGTATGGTGACTGGCTAGTTCAAGACTTAGAGGTCAAAGGTGACTTCAAGAAAGGTCAACAAGTAACAGAGGGAGGCTATGTAGATATTATTAGTCATGAGGTGAAAGGAGATGAGGTCAAAGGTGATGACCTTAAAGGACCAGTTATAGACTCTGGATTTGAAGATGTTGATAGTAGTGTGTTTAACCCAAGAACAGGAAGTGCTGATGCTAATACAGAAAGCTCTTCAGTCAGTGATAAATTTCTCAAGGGAATCAATGACATTTGCCAAAATAAACATTTTGATGACCATGAACAATTTCTTTTGCAAAAATGGCGAGAATCTGGATTGAAATTATGGAAGATTCTTCATGAAAGAGAAGTATGCAGCAAAAAGAGAAAACCTGAAAAATCCCCATCAACTGATGCTAGTCACAGTAAAATCTGTCATTCATCAAGGACTTGTAGTCTGGAGCCAAAAATGTTTAGTTTAGAAGAATTGGCCTACAAACAGGCAGTTGGCTGTACTACTGATTATGTCAGCAAAAACACAGAACAATACTTGCATGTGAATGATTTTGCTTGTGAGAAAGGAAAAGAACCCAGGATCCAGCTTGGCAGAAATTCTGAACTCTCTAATCAATCAAAAAATACTGTGGATAAAATTGGTGATACATGTAACATCTTCTCAAACAAGAAATTAGGAAACTTGCAAAGTCCACAGGAAAAAGCTTCAATTATACACAACAGTCTTGTCTCAGATCCTAGTGAGATAGAAATAAACCATTCCTCACATAACAATGTTACGTCAGATCCTCCAGAGAGGGAAGCGGCCACATTGACGTTGGAATCCAAGCCAGAATTTTGGACTCTAGCTGACAAAGGGTTGAGTCCTGATGAATCGGTTAAGAAATCTAGGTTTATGGAAGGGTTACATTTCCATTCAAGCAGAGATGCTGTAAAACCTTCATCTTCAGCTGAAGAACATGTATTAGATGCAACCGGACATAAAGATATCTCAAAATCAAATGACTTTGTTGAAATACAACCTTTGAAGGAAGAAAGATATTCAAATCACAAAATTAAATCTTCAGATCTGGAGATATTTGAAGCTCATGCAAAACTGTGGAAGAATCCAGTCTCCCCAGATAAACATCAAGAGGACAGTGTATCTGCTAAGCCTGACAACGTTCCTCACATTCCATTCTTTTGTAGTGGTCTTGATTCATGCTGTTCTGACAAGGTGTGGAAGGAACCCAGGAAGGACTTGGAACAAAAACTTAGTAAAGGCATCCAAAATCACACCAGCAACACACCAAGCAGCTCAACCGATAAAATAACGGTGAAAGTGGTGAAGCGACAGAGCACATCAGAAAAGTCGGTTACAGATCAGGATATAACATATCCTCATCACCTGCGTCGATGGTCAAATATTGTCGGAGGAGATGATACACACACCAAAAAGCCACAAATATTTAACCAGTTACAGGACGAAGAAAACAATAGTGATAGCTACGATGATTCTATAGATCTGGAGTTTAATGATAATTCTCGTCCTGTTGTTCAAACTTCTCTTCAAAGTAACACAGCTTTATCATCAAGTAATCAATGTAATTTCAAGGAACATTTATTGAAGTCCCTGGAGCAGCATAAATCTCCAACTTTTTCGTCAGACTCGGCAACAACAGATTTAGAGAGAAGTTCTACCAATGATTGGGCTGATGCTGACTCCAGTGATCCCTATGCATCAACTCATTCTCCTCAGAACAAGAGGAATAGTTGTCCAAATACAGGATACAATCGGGATTCCTGCATGTCAAAATCCTGTGCAAGATACTCACCAAAACGATACAGAAAGAAAACACATTCAAGGTCAAGGTCGATGGAACATGAGGTTGTCATAGATCTTATTCGAAATCGGGTGATGGCGGGAAATGGAATCGACTCAGATTCAACTGAGGAATCATCAATAGATGTTAAAACTGCATTTATAACTAAAGATCAAAGTCACCAAAAAGCTTGTAAAGCACACACTTTACAAGCAGAACATTCCAATGACACAGATAGCCATGATCACACTGAGAATTATACTGTGGATAGCTGTTCTGAAAGCAGCCAATCAGCGGACGGCCGTTGTTACACAGGATGTGGACCAGCTACGGGAATCCTAGGTCTAAGGTATGCCATTCCTTATCTATCAGAGAGATTGAAGATGAGTCTAGCCAAGCGAATTGAATCTGGAAACACTGGGAAACGAAACTCAGGAAAACAGCTTAGAAGCAAGAGCCAGGGAGATATAAACGAACATGATACTGGAATCCAAAGTGATCCAGGCTGTTCACCTCGAGCACAGCTGAACGACCTTGACCTTGGTGGGGAGAGTAGTGTGAAGACTTTAGAACCTGGTCGCAGCCAAAATGTTTCCAATATGTCGGACATTAATGCTGTACACACTTCAGACAGAGATGATGTCAGCAACAAAATTGGAGGGTTTGAGAACGTGAAATCAGTGAGTCAACATTCCAATATCTCAAATTACATTCCAAATAAACTTCAAAATCAGGGGCCATATTTTCTAGGTCAAGGTCACTGTGTGGTTAAAGATAGATACTTAAAGGGTAAATATGTTTGTCCTGCTTCAAACGATGAATGCAGCCATGATGAAATTTCTCAAACTGATGAAAGCGAAGGACTTGAAATATCTCATTCCTTTCAATATATTGATATATCTGATGGAGAAATGGAAACTCATCTACAAACTGATCTTACAACAGACTCAGGTTCTATTTCACAACCTCAACTATCTCGGCCAAGTACTAGTCATGTTACCTATGACGATATATGTAAGTCTCTGCAATCTCACATCAGCATCACAAATAAACCCCAGGCATCCCAGCAGAGTTATGTCCCTTTACAAGAAATCTCCTCATCAGACCTTCATTCTTGTGATACAACAACACTACAATCAAATCCAATATCTCACCATAGTTATTTCCCTTGCATGGAACTCTCAGAATCTGATCACCCGTCTTTTAAAACTGAACTCTCCGAACCTCTTAGTCAAATTAATTATCTCCCCAGTGGAGAAATCTCAGAATCGCTGAAGCTGATTGGCCAAGGTGATGATACAGAGAATTGTAGCTGTGCTGAAACAGGATTTCTCTCAGCTGATTGTATCGACCTCGAAGACGTTGAAGAAAATCGAGCTGACCTGCAGTTTTTGTCAATTGAACAAGATACTTCAGACTGTAGCTCTATACACTCTGACACAGACAGGGTAAGATAGTGGTTAATATGTAGTGTGTTTTACTGTACAAATATCTGCAGAAATATTTCAGTATACTTCAAACTACCTATGTTCACTAATGTTTTATTATGATACATATTGCAAATGATAAAGCATTTCAGTGACTTACAGTGATACAGATTACGTTAGGGTTAAGTGACTTACAGTGATACAGATTACGTTAGAATTCAGTGACTTACAGTGATACAGATTAAGTTAGAGTTCAGTGACTTACAGTGATACAGATTACGTTAGAGTTCAGTGACTTACAGTGATACAGATTACGTTAGAGTTCAGTGACTTACAGTGATACAGATTACGTTAGAGTTCAGTGACTTACAGTGATACAGATTACGTTAGAGTTCAGTTCAGTGACTTACAGTGATACAGATTACGTTAGAGTTCAGTGACTTACAGTGATACAGATTACGTTAGAGTTCAGTGACTTACAGTGATACAGATTACGTTAGAATTCAGTGACTTACAGTGATACAGATTACGTTAGAGTTCAGTGACTTACAGTGATACAGATTACGTTAGAGTTCAGTGACTTACAGTGATACAGATTACGTTAGAGTTCAGTGACTTACAGTGATACAGATTACGTTAGAGTTCAGTGACTTACAGTGATACAGATTACGTTAGGGTTCAGTGACTTACAGTGATACAGATTACGTTAGAATTCAGTGACTTACAGTGATACAGATTACGTTAGAGTTCAGTGACTTACAGTGATACAGATTACGTTAGGGTTAAGTGACTTACAGTGATACAGATTACGTTAGAGTTCAGTGACTTACAGTGATACAGATTACGTTAGAGTTCAGTGACTTACAGTGATACAGATTACGTTAGAGTTCAGTGACTTACAGTGATACAGATTACGTTAGAGTTCAGTGACTTACAGTGATACAGATTACGTTAGAATTCAGTGACTTACAGTGATACAGATTACGTTAGAGTTCAGTGACTTACAGTGATACAGATTACGTTAGAGTTCAGTGACTTACAGTGATACAGATTACGTTAGAGTTCAGTGACTTACAGTGATACAGATTACGTTAGAGTTCAGTGACTTACAGTGATACAGATTACGTTAGAGTTCAGTGACTTACAGTGATACAGATTACGTTAGGGTTAAGATGATTTTAATTTATTTGAGATATACTTTAACAACAGTTAAATATCTAATAACATGGAGAGATTAAAATTGTGTTAAGTTGCAGTATCATTAAGATAAAAAATGTGTTTTTTATTTATTGAAGACTGTAGAGTTTGTTATGTGTCTATATATACAGTGGGGAACTTAATATTCAATATGTTTTCTAGATTTGTGCTACTCATCACAGTTAGATAATTTTCTGCTTCTTATTCTGCATATTTTTGCTTTGTAGAGTAATTTAAGCGAGGAGTTACCTGTTCGGAGTCTGTTCAGCACTCATAGTGAATCGGACAGTGGGGAAGCTGACGATGAATTTGAATGTGAATGTGAACACTGTCTACAACTGAGGTCAAGAAATGACAGTACACTTAGGAGCCAAGGCCAAAGTCACCCTCACCCCAGCAGTAGTGGCCTCTCTGTAGTGGAAGATGAGGCTCAACGTCATCAAAGGTTAGTTGTAGGTGAAGGTCACTGATCTCTAATATTTTATGAAATCAGATTAACCATGGTACCAGCTTGATGAGATAACTTGTGATAGAGGTGTCATTGTAGTGAATGAGACTTACAGAGTCACCACAGTTCATTTATCATTACAAGGGGAGATAACATGTGATAGAGGTGTCAATGTAGTGAATGAGACTTAAAGAGGTACCACAGTTCATTTATCATTACAAGGGGAGATAACTTGTGATAGAGGTGTAGTGAAGTGAAAGACTTACCAAGGTACCACAGTTCATTTATCATTACAAGGGGAGATAACATGTGATAGAGGTGTCAATGTAGTGAATGAGACTTTCATTTATCATTACAAGGGGAGATAACTTGTGATAGAGGTGTAGTGAATGAGACTTACCAAGGTACCACAGTTCATTTATCATTACAAGGGGAGATAACATGTGATAGAGGTGTCAATGTAGTGAGAGATAAAGAGGTACTTCATTTATCATTACAAGGAGAGATAACTTGTGATAGAGGTGTAGTGAATGAGACTTACCAAGGTACCACAGTTCATTTATCATTACAAGGGGAGATAACATGTGATAGAGGTGTAAGTGTAGTGAAAGAGACTTACCAAGGTACCACAGTTCATTTATCATTACAAGGGGAGATAACTTGTGATAGGGGTGTCAATGTAGTGAATGAGACTTAAAGAGGTACCACAGTTCATTTATCATTACAAGGGGAGATAACATGTGATAGAGGTGTAGTGAATGAGACTTACCAAGGTACCACAGTTCATTTATCATTACAAGGGGAGATAACATGTGATAGAGGTGTCAATGTAGTGAATGAGACTTAAAGAGGTACCACAGTTCATTTATCATTACAAGGGGAGATAACTTGTGATAGAGGTGTAGTGAATGAGACTTACCAAGGTACCACAGTTCATTTATCATTACAAGGGGAGATAACATGTGATAGAGGTGTCAATGTAGTGAATGAGACTTAAAGAGGTACCACAGTTCATTTATCATTACAAGGAGAGATAACTTGTGATAGAGGTGTAGTGAATGAGACTTACCAAGGTACCACAGTTCATTTATCATTACAAGGGGAGATAACATGTGATAGAGGTGTAAGTGTAGTGAAAGAGACTTACCAAGGTACCACAGTTCATTTATCATTACAAGGGGAGATAACTTGTGATAGGGGTGTCAATGTAGTGAATGAGACTTAAAGAGGTACCACAGTTCATTTATCATTACAAGGGGAGATAACATGTGATAGAGGTGTAGTGAATGAGACTTACCAAGGTACCACAGTTCATTTATCATTACAAGGGGAGATAACATGTGATAGAGGTGTCAATGTAGTGAATGAGACTTAAAGAGGTACCACAGTTCATTTATCATTACAAGGGGAGATAACTTGTGATAGAGGTGTAGTGAATGAGACTTACCAAGGTACCACAGTTCATTTATCATTACAAGGGGAGATAACATGTGATAGAGGTGTCAATGTGTAAGTGTACCACAGTTCATTTATCATTACAAGGAGAGATAACTTGTGATAGAGGTGTAGTGAATGAGACTTACCAAGGTACCACAGTTCATTTATCATTACAAGGGGAGATAACATGTGATAGAGGTGTAAGTGTAGTGAAAGAGACTGAGATTTATCATTACAAGGGGAGATAACTTGTGATAGGGGTGTCAATGTAGAGGTACCACAGTTCATTTATCATTACAAGGGGAGATAACATGTGATAGAGGTGTAGTGAATGAGACTTACCAAGGTACCACAGTTCATTTATCATTACAAGGGGAGATAACATGTGATAGAGGTGTAGTGAATGAGACTTACCAAGGTACCACAGTTCATTTATCATTACAAGGTGAGATAACTTGTGATAGAGGTGTCAATGTAGTGAATGAGACTTACCAAGGTACCACAGTTCATTTATCATTACAAGGGGAGGTAACTTGTGATAGAGGTGTCAGTGTAGTGAATGAGACTTACCATGGTACCACAGTTCATTTATCATTACAAGGGGAGATAACTTGTGATACAGGTGTCAGTGTAGTGAATGAGACTTACCAAGGTACCACAGTAAATCATTCAGAACAAAAGGCAAATACTTACATCTCAATACACATATCTTCTCAACAACATTATATAGATATTATAGATTTAGTGCTTGAAACTATGTTGACCTCTTGAATTTATCTGTTTCATTGAAAAAAAAAAAAAAAAAAAGATTGCAGTTATGTGTCTTTGGTAACTTGCAATGATTTAAAATGATAAACATTGCAATGCAGTTCCATTGATTTCAAAGTGGTCCAAAGTAAACCACTTAATGTCAAGTCAGTTAATATTACTTTCCAGTCAATATCACTCTCCAGTTAATATCACTTTCCAGTTAGTATCACTCTCCAGTTAATAACACTCTCCAGTTAATATCACATATTCCCTGACAAATTGAACATGACATTAAGTGGGTTCCACTGAACGTGAAATGCGATAGGTATAGCCATAGTTCAAATCTTGGATTTGTAGATTAACTGACGACAGGCGAAAGACAATGAAGAATTAACGTAACACTTTAAAAGAAAAGAAAATGATTGCTGACTTTCTGCATCACTTTTAAGTAAAAACTGTGGAAATGTTTTTAAAACAAAATTTTCTAACTAATTGATAGTCATATAAAATATATTGCATGATCTCTAATGGACGGGCTGTAGTATCAACAAAAGATGCTTTATGTTTTATTTGATGCTGAAATGATTTTTTTTTGTTTAGACTACCAGATGGAGAGCTGGAGGAAGGCCTGTACAGAATAAGTATAGCGGAGTTAAGTCCCCTTAGTAGCATCATGAACACACGACGAAATGAACTGGAGTTTATGTTTGAGGTAACTTTGTGTTATGCACTTTCTGTATAATATTTAGAAGCTTTTATAACCATATGATATAATACGTCAAAAAACTTTAATTAAATAGGAGTGATTTTAATTAAATAGGAGCGATTTTAATTAAATAGGAGCAATTTTAATTCAATTGGAGCAATTTTAATTAAATAGAGATTTTAATTTAATAGCGATTTTAATTAAATAGGAGTGATTTTAATTTAATAGGTGTGATTTAATTAAATAGGTGTGATTTAATTAAATAGGAGTGACACTAAATTATATCATTATTGTTGTAAACAAGGTCTTTGCTCGTGCACGATGCAGGAAAGTATAGAAATCATAACAAAGGGAATTTAAGTTCTGTAAGGTCACATGATCAACTCAGTCCTCTCCAATCATAACAGCGGCAGTAGACACAAGAGAAGATGTCTTCTAGTGTTAGTATGAAGCTGATAACCTTTATCAAATTTGTTCAAAAAGTGCTTTAAATTTGTAAATAGTCTAATTTTTATTGTTACAATGCTTGCCCAAAATCAAGTGCATGAGAAAAATAACAAAATCTTGTTTAAAGATAAAGCACTGTCTCTGAAAAGTTTAAAACATGTATACAATGAGTGTTCGGGTGGTGCAATGGTAATGCCTTTCACTTAGTCGCCTGGGGCTCGACTCCTGGAACGGACATGAAAAGGTAAGGGTCACCTGCCCAACCACATCACTTTTTCCTGGGTACTCCGGTTTCCTCCGACAATAAGACGCACTTACATCTGGGCCAACAAGAGTGATTAATATAAGTTGAAATAACTTGTTTTGTTGTACGATAAAGAGAGTTTACAGTTTGATGTATACAATGAGTGAGATGTAACTACTATATAAACATGGGACCAATCACTTGGTTTCAAAACATATAAATAACCAACCTGAATTTATTGTATGGTATAAAGAGTGTGTAGTAACATCCACTACACTAGATATTCATACACCTGTCAAAGCTTTTAATTGTCTTTATACAGTGACTTCTTATTTATATTTTCATATTTATATTCATTTTAATATTGTACATTTCTTTTGGACAATACCAGACATTGTTTGGCTCAAATGTGCTGTTGTTGTTATGTCATGTATAATGTAAGATGCGCTGTGATTGGCCGAGTGTGTTCTGTGTTTACATGTATGATGTAAGATGCGCTGTGATTGGCCGAGTGTGTTCTGTTTTTACATGTATAATGTAAGGTGCGCTGTGATTGGCCGAGTGTGTTCTGTGTTTATATGGTTAACTTGTAGCTGTATTTGATATATGAGATGTCACTAAAGAAGGAGATAATTATGTAGTTGTGGAAGTATTGCTTATTTGTACCAGTGTAATGAAATACTATCTTTGCAAAATATTCAGTTTTTGTTTTAATTCCTATGAGATTGTGATAACAGTTTTAATTCCTATGAGATTGTGATAACAGTTTTAATTCCTATGAGATTGTGATAACAGTTTTAATTCCTATGAGATTGTGATAACAGTTTTAATTCCTATGAGATTGTGATAACAGTTTTAATTCCTATGAGATTGTGATAACAGTTTTAATTCCTATGAGATTGTGATAACAGTTTTAATTCCTATGAGATTGTGATAACAGTTTTAATTCCTATGAGATTGTGCCAGAGAGCCTGAATTCTGATTCGAATAAAAACCTGTAAAACCCTGTATATATTGTGCATGTATAGGTTGATCAGGTTTGGAAAAATAATGTAGAATCTTTTCCCTTAGGAATTCTTAAAGAGGTAAAACTTATGTACATAGATACATTGACCATGTCTGTAAGTTGATTATTTTCTGTCTCCAGAATGTGATTCTACAGATGTTAGCAGTCCATCCAGATTTATTGTCTGATGCCACGCCCCCACCAGCAGATCAGTCAGTAATTGACGCCTTACCGTCTTTAACTGTCAACCAAGGACATCTTGGTGTGTAGCTTTTGTTTCTTATATCAGTGTATATAACTGGTCTGTCCTATACACAAAACTATTCTTTTTAAAAGTGCAAGAAATAAGATGTACAAATTGTAATACTATATTTCATTAACCAGTGAAAGAAATCAAATTTTGATTTTTTTCTGTTTCCAGCCATAAGCCTGTCTTGCCCTATATGTCTATGTGTATGTGAAGAGAAGGAAATTTTGAGTTGTCTCCCCTGTCAGCATCTCTTTCATCAGTTATGTATACAGGCCTGGTTGATAAAGGTAAGCCAAACCATCCTATAATTCCAAAGGACCTGGCAGCCTTGTAAAAGAATTGTTTAGTTCAATAGGCCTAAACTTATAAGTGAAATGTAATGATTCATGCTGAACTGAGATCTTCAGCAACTGACTGAATCAGGGAGATTAAAGAAACTCACTCAACATATATACATACAAGTCTTGTATATCAGGCCTACTTAATATGTCCAACAGTAAGCCGATGTAAAAAGTCAGGTAAAATTCCTAGACTGAATACATTGTTAAATTATATATTCTCTCACAGTAGGTAATACCAACACATACTATATCATTGTCCTGTAATAAGCCCACCCACATCTATACTAGGTAATACCAACACATACTATATCATTGTCCTGTAATAAGCCCACCCACATCTATACTAGGTAATACCAACTCATGGTATATCATTGTCCTGTAATAAGCCCACCCACATCTATTGTAGTTTCAGGTGTAATACCTACACATGCTATATCATTGTCCTGTAATAAGCCCACCCACATCTATTGTAGTTTCAGGTGTAATACCTACACATGCTATATCATTGTCCTGTAATAAGCCCACCCACATCTATTGTAGTTTCAGGAGTAATACCTACACATGCTATATCATTGTCCTGTAATTAGCCCACCCACATCTATTGTAGTTTCAGGAGTAATACCTACACATACTATATAATTGACCTGTATCAAACATACCATCCCTGCTATATTCAGTATATATTTTATCCCGGGGCTGACTGAAAAAAAAAGATAATATGCTCCATGTTAAATGACCTTTAATACTAACGGCATCAATATACTTCTGGATAATGAAAACCATAATTTTGAATTAAGAAAAAATAAACAATCTGTTATATTTGAAAAAATTTTATATAGTGAATGAGATAAAAAAAATATTGATATATTTTTTTGTTTATATTTCAGTGTGGAACTTGTCCTGTTTGTAGAAGAACTCTCTGATGTTACTTATTTTAGGATACTAATTAATTATAACCAGTCTAGTCACAAACTTGTATTATATTAATCCCCTGTAAGACTCTGGGCAATATGTTGTTTGTTTTCTCAATTGCATTCTACTTCTTATATGCTACGTTATGCCAGGTTACTACACACCAGTAATGGTACAGGTTACGACACACAAGTAATGGTACAGGTTACTACTCACCAGTAATGGTACAGGTTACTACACACCAGTAATGGTACAGGTTACTACACACCAGTAATGGTACAAGTTACTACTCACCAGTAATGATACAGGGTACTTCAGTAATGGTACAGGTTACTGCAGTAATGGTACATGTTACTACACACCAGTAATGGTACAGGTTACTACACACCAGTAATGGTACAGGTTACTACACTACAGTAATGGTACAGGGTACTACTCACCAGTAATGGTACAGGCTACTACACACCAGTAATGGTACAGGTTACTACACACCAGTAATGGTACAGGTTACTACACACCAGTAATGGTACAAGGTACTCACCAGTAATGATACAGGGTACTTCAGTAATGGTACAGGTTACTGCAGTAATGGTACATGTTACTACACACCAGTAATGGTACAGGTTACTACACACCAGTAATGGTACAGGTTACTACACTACAGTAATGGTACAGGGTACTACTCACCAGTAATGGTACAGGCTACTACACACCAGTAATGGTACAGGTTACTACACACCAGTAATGGTACTGGTTACTACACACCAGTAATGGTACAGGTTACTACACTACAGTAATGGTACAGGTTACTACAGTAATGGTACAGGTTACTACACACCAGTAATGGTACAGGGTACTACTCACCAGTAATGGTACAGGGTACTTCAGTAATGGTACAGGTTACTACACACCAGTAATGGTACATGTTACTACACATCAGTTATGGTACAGGTTACTACACACCAGTAATGGTACATGTTACTACAGTAATGGTACAGGTTACTACACACCAGCAATGGTACAGGTTACTACACACCAGTAATGGTACATGTTACTACAGTAATGGTACAGGTTACTACACACCAGTAATAGTACAGAGTACTACACACCAGTAGTGGTACAGGTCACTACAATAATGGTACTGGTTACTACACACCAGTAATGGTACAGGTTACTACACACCAGTAATGGTACTTACTACACACTAGTAATGATAAAGGATACTACACACCAGTAATGGTACAGGTTACTACACACCAATAATGGTACAGGTTACTACACACCAGTAATGGTACAGGTTACTACACACCAGTAATGGTACAGGGTACTACTCACCAGTAATGATGCAGGATACTTCAGTAATGGTACAGGTTACTGCAGTAATGGTACATGTTACTACACACCAGTAATGATACAGGTCACTACACACCAGTAATAGAACAGATTACTACAGGAATGGTACAGGTTACTTCACACCAGTAATGATACGGGTTACTACAGTAATGGTACAGGTTACTACACACCAGTAATGGTACAGGTTACTACAGTAATGGTACAGGTTACTACACACCAGTAATGGTACAGGTTGCTACACACCAGTAATGGTACAGGTTGCTACACACCAGTAATGGTATAGGTTACTACACACCAGTAATGATACAGGTTACTACAGTAATTGAACAGGTTACTACAGTAATGGTACAGGTTACTACAGTAATGGTACAGGTTACTACACACCAGTAATGGTACAGGTTACTACACACCAGTAATGGTACAGGGTACTACACACCAGTAATGGTACAGGATACTACACACCAGTAATGGTACAGGGTACTACACACCAGTAATGGTACAGGATACTACACACCAGTAATGGTACAGGGTACTACACACCAGTAATGGTACAGGTTACTACACACCAGTAATGGTACAGGTTGCTACACACCAGTAATGGTACAGGTTGCTACACACCAGTAATGGTATAGGTTACTACACACCAGTAATGATACAGGTTACTACAGTAATTGAACAGGTTACTACAGTAATGGTACAGGTTACTACAGTAATGGTACAGGTTACTACACACCAGTAATGGTACAGGGTACTACACACCAGTAATGGTACAGGGTACTACAGTAATTGAACAGGTTACTACAGTAATGGTACAGGTTACTACAGTAATGGTACAGGTTACTACACACCAGTAATGGTACAGGTTACTACACACCAGTAATGGTACAGGGTACTACACACCAGTAATGGTACAGGATACTACACACCAGTAATGGTACAGGGTACTACACACCAGTAATGATACAGGTTACTACAGTAATTGAACAGGTTACTACACACCAGTAATTGTACAGGTTACTACACACCAGTAATGGTACAGGATACTACACACCAGTAATGGTACAGGGTACTACACACCAGTAATGGTACAGGATACTACACACCAGTAATGGTACAGGGTACTACTCACCAGTAATGGTACAGGTTACTACACACCAGTAATGGTACAGGTTACTACACACCAGTAATGGTACAGTTTACTACACACCAGTAATGATAAAGGATACTACACACCAGTAATGATACAGGTTACTACACACCAGTAATGGTACAGGTTACTACACACCAGTAATGGTACAGGTTACTACAGTAATGGTACAGGTTACTACACACCAGTAATGGTACAGGTTACTACACACTAGTAATGGTACAGGTTACTACAGTAATGGTACAGGTTACTACACACCAGTAATGGTACAGGTTACTACACACCAGTAATGGTACAGGGTACTACTCACCAGTAATGGTACAGGTTACTACACACGAGTAATGGTACAGGTTACTACACACCAGTAATGGTACTGGTTACTACACACCAGTAATGGTACAGGGTACTACTCACCAGTAATGGTACAGGGTACTACACACCAGTAATGGTACAGGTTACTACACACCAGTAATGGTACAGGTTACTACACTACAGTAATGATACAGGTCACTACAGTAATGGTACAGGTTACTACACACCAGTTATGGTACATGTTACTACACACCAGTAATGGTACAGGTTACTACACACCAATAATGGTACATGTTACTATAGTAATGGTACAGGTTACTACACACCAGTAATGGTACAGGTTACTACACACCAGCAATGGTGCAGGTTACTACACACCAGTAATGGTACAGATTACTACAGTAATGGTACAGGTTACTACACACCAGTAATGGTACAGGTTACTACACACCAGCAATGGTACATGTTACTACACACCAGTAATGGTACATCTTACTACAGTAATGGTACAGGTTACTACACACCAGTAATGGTACAGGTTACTACACACCAGTAATGATACAGGATACTACACACCAGTAATGGTACAGGTTACTACAGTAATGGTACAGGTTACTACACACTAGTAATGGTACAGGTTACTACACACCAGTTATTGTACAGGTCACTACACACCAGTAATGGTACAGGTTACTACACTCCAATAATGGTACAGGTTACTACACACCAGTAATGGTACAGGTTACTACACACCAGTAATGGTACAGGTTACTACACACCAGTAATGGTACAGGTTAGTACACACCGGTAATGGTACAGGTTACTACACACCAGTGATGGTACAGGGTACTACACTCCAATAATGGTACAGGTTACTACACACAGTAATGGTACTGGTTACTACACACCAGTAATGGTACAGGTTACTACACCAGTAATGGTACAGGGTTACTACACACCAGTAATGGTACATAATGGTATAGGTTACTACACACCAGTAATGGTACATGTTACTACAGTAATGGTACAGTTTACTACACACCAGTTATGGTACAGGTTACTACACACCAGTAATGGTACATGTTACTACAGTAATGGTACAGGTTACTACACACCAGCAATGGTACAGGTTACTACACACCAGTAATGGTACAGGTTACTACAGTAATTGAACAGGTTACTACACACCAGTAATGGTACAGGGTACCACACACCAGTAATGATACAGGTTACTACAGTAATTAAACAGGTTACTACAGTAATGGTACAGGTTACTACAGTAATGGTACAGGTTACTACACACCAGTAATGGTACAGGTTACTACACACCAGTAATGGTACAGTTTACTACACACCAGTAATGGTACTGGTTACTACACACCAGTAATGATAAAGGATACTACACACCAGTAATGATACAGGTTACTACACACCAGTAATGGTACAGGTTACTACAGTAATGGTACAGGTTACTACACACCAGTAATGGTACAGGTTACTACACACCAGTAATGGTACATGTTACTACACACCAGTAATGGTACATGTTACTACACACCAGTAATGGTACATGTTACTACACACCAGTAATGGTACATGTTACTACACACTAGTAATGGTACAGGGTACTACAGTAATGGTACAGGTTACTACAGTAATGGTACAGGTTACTACACACCAGTAATGGTACAGGTTACTACACACCAGTAATGGTACAGGTTACTACACACCAGTAATGGTACAGGTTACTACACACCAGTAATGGTACTGGTTACTACACACCAGTAATGGTACAGGTTACTACACACCAGTAATGGTACAGGGTACTACACACCAGTAATGGTACAGGTTACTACACACCAGTAATGGTACAGGTTACTACACTACAGTAATGATACAGGTTACTACAGTAATGGTACAGGTTACTACACACCAGTTATGGTACATGTTACTACACACCAGTAATGGTACAGGTTACTACACACCAATAATGGTACATGTTACTATAGTAATGGTACAGGTTACTACACACCAGTAATGGTACAGGTTACTACACACCAGTAATGGTACATGTTACTACAGTAATGGTACATTTTACTACACACCAGTAATTGTACAGGTTACTACACACCAGTAATGGTACAGGCTACTACACACCAGTAATGGTACATGTTACTACACACCAGCAATGGTACAGATTACTACAGTAATGGTACAGGTTACTACACACCAGTAATGGTACAGGTTACTACACACCAGCAATGGTACAGGTTAC